ATTTATAATTGTTATATATATATATATATATATATATATATATATATATATATATATATATATATATATATATATATATATATATATATATATATATATACATTCTGAAAGTTTTGGTGGCAACACCAGCTAACCCATTATGCTGCAGTACACCCTAGTGCACCCTACTTATCTTTTTTGACAAACGTCAGATGATTTCAGATGATTTTACTTGTCAAAGGGGAAGGTCTGGACCTGCTGTTTATTGCGGTGTAACGAGTTAAAAGATGTTTTCACCTTTACATGAAGGTGCAGAAATTAGTAAGTGAAGCTGAGGAGTTAGATAACATCAGGGAAGAGTTAGTAGATGAAGCAGGTGAACAGAAGGTAGCATTTAGTATTAACAAAGCAGGAGCAGAAAGGAGGAGAAAGAAACCAACAGGAGAAGGAAATTATAGTGAGTCGACAGGGAAAAGGCGTAGAATGGCGACCGTGTCAGCAGTTAGTGCAATACATGGAGGTGAGAATAGTTTAAAGCCAGGGACGATTGGAATGTTGGAGACATTAGACAAGAGGTGTAAAGAGAAAGATATAGTTGATGTTATAAAGAGATGTCCGAAGTTAAAAGATAAGGTTCTACCAAAGTTGTACAAAGAAGATTTAAAGGTGAAATTGGCTGAGTTCTACCTGAATCATGGTAAGTATAATCTGCTAACATTTGACCAGCCTAATACATTTCATGTTGCTTTGGGTGGAGATGGTGCCCGTTTTGGAAAGGACGATACAGCATGTTAATGGCTTTTAAGTTTTCTAAATATTGGACAAGGTGTGTTAAGTACCAATGATAATTTTCTTCTTTTTGGTACCAATTGTGCAGAGAATTGTTTACAGGTAAGGCGCTTCTTGGGTAAGTTAATGAGTGATATTAGAAGAATTCAGAGTTCTTCGTATTCTATTCTAGCTAAGGGGGCAAGCATTGACGTTAAATTTGTGTTTGCTGAACTGCTAAATGATATGAAAATCCTTGTCTTCTTAACTGGAGAGCTAACTAACAGTGCCACATACTTTTCAACTTTTGCAGATGTAGACCAAGAGTCATTGACTAAATCTGGGACATTTGGTCGTAATGCATCTGATACGTGGAAACCCTGGAAATACACCCACAGGATCAAAGTGGTTAAAACTGTTGAAAAATTTAAAAAGAAGATAGAGTTGAAGAAAGTTTCAGCCAACACCAAAAGATCAAACATTACATCTTTTATTGCCAAACAAAAAAGCCGCCAAAATTGATTGACCGTGCACATGTTGCACCGCTACATTTAAAAAATAACGTTTGTGCATTGGCACATCGTTATCTTTTAAATCAAGCGATTGAAATGTCCAAACCTAATCTCCCATCTTTTTTTCCCCAGGTTCGACCAGAAACACCTTTTTATAAATTCATTGATGTTCTTCGATCTAAGTGCAATTTGAACAGACTTGCAAAGAGAATCATACGATGGTACGACGATAATGCAACCAATGATGCGAAGGCGTTCAACTATAGATTTACAGGTAAGGATTCTCCTATGTTTCTACATAATTTTATGTTTCTCATTGATATGCTATAAAAAGGTGTTTCTGGTAAAGCTGCTGAATTGCTTCATGTTTCATGCCTATCTTTGTCTCTGTTTGCGAAATGCTGTTTCTTTGTTCACTCGTGTGAACATTACAGATGAGCAAATCATAGATTTAAAGCAACACTGCACCAATTTTTATCGTGGTTATTGGTTATTCTTCAGGGTTAATCCCACAGTGAGGACCCTTGGATGTGTTTTTCCAATTCACACCAAGGAGATGAAGAGCCTGTACGTGCACGCTTGTCATAAACTGTCGTATATTCGGCCAACTCAAACGTAGCAATTTTTTTCCGTGATCGCGCGAATTTTCAGAAGACTAGGGGCGAGATTACTTTTCAAAAATTGCGCTTTTTTATAGCGCATTGGGGATTTGTAGGTCTCCTTTAGACGAATAGCGATTAGAGGGATTAATAGGGGATAATCTTAGGATCACAATGATACCAAAGTTGCTATGGTAACGTATCCACTTCCGCAGGTTTAGTTTTGTTTTGTGATGGCTTGCGCTACACAATGACGCTCATTGAAAATTTTCAGAAAATTACATGATTTTATCTTCAAATAACTTTTGTTTTTTACGCCATCAGATATTAACGTTCAATAATTCTAAAAAAGAATATACTCGTCTACAATCGTATGTTTTTTTTATATTGATTTACGACCGTAATATCGGCAAAAATGCCTTTATCAAAATCGCGTAAATACAGCCGTTTCAATGTCGGCGCATATATGAAGGAACGTCGTTTGGCAACAGAAACGTTGGCAAAACAAAGCAAGGCGCTGATTGCAAAGAAGCAGAAGTTGGCCCGGCTAGACAAAAATGTATGTTTGAACCATTTCATAGTTTAGTAGCCTAATTATTGTTGAAATATAACTATAAAGATACAACATGACAATCCATAGCGCAAAAACATTTACATGTAGGTCGAGGCCTGGAAAGCGTAACTTATGAATAATTTACATAGGCAAACACTTGAGTAACATTTAGTTTTGTAAACAAGCCTTCTCAGCTCTTATTTTAATAGTTGTTTTCCGGACAGAGTACTAAGTTCACGAAATTATATAGTCAAATCCAGTGGAGTAAAAACAAAGCAACTGTACCCATTTATAGTATTTACTATCTAGTGCAACCTATATTATAGATAGCAAAAGTAGTTGATGAAATAGAGGATAGATCATATATAGCCAGACAGGCAGGTTGTACGTCTAAAGCCGGTGCTAATAAGAGAAGGAAAGTTGAAACAAGCAGTTGTAGTGAGAGGACCAAGAGAAGGCGTAGTGCTGAAACAATTGAGGTAGCTAAGAATATTCATGGGGGGGAAGAACGAAGTTTGAAGGCAAGTACTGCTGGTTTGCTTAAGGCACTTGAAAGTAGATGTTCAGAAGATGATCTAGTTTGTGGGATGGATAAATGCAAAAAGTTGAAGAAGAAGGTATTTCCAAAGTTATACAAGAAGGCAGTTGATCAATTTGAACATACCAGTCAAAATATGTTGCGATCTATAGCTGTGTATTATTGTAATGGGGTAATGGGTAAGGTAAAGTATATGTCAGTGTATAGGGCATCCACCTACAGTTATTCGGCTCATAAGAAGAAGCATGTGCGTATGACAGTTGCTAACTGCCCCATCCCTCGTCTTGTTCCATACCATCGGTTAACAACCTATGTAAAAAGCATTGATGTAGGTAAGCTACATAGTGTTCGTGATACTCTTTGTGAGGGCTTGGATGAGAAAGTCAAGGTAAGTGGATGTTATCGTGACATTTAAGAACTACTTCTTAGGCTGGCTGACTTCTGTCTCTCGAATGATCTGTATGAATTATTAACTTTTACTGAAACTAACACATTTCATGTTGCTTTAGGTGGAGATGGAGCACCTTTTGGTAAGGATGATTTGGCATGGTCCTGGCTTGTAAGCATTTTAAATATTGGTCAGGGTGTTCTGAGTTCAAATGAAAATTTCCTTCTCTTTGGGGCCAATTGCAGTGAGAATTGTGTTCCTGCAACACGGTTCTTGCAAAGATTGCTAATTGACATTAAGAAAATTGAGAGTTCAAGTTATACTATTTTGTGCAACAATGAGAACGCGTTCCAAACTATTTTCAACAATTCCAAACTAATTTTTTTTTCTGCAAAATTAATGAAAAAAACCCAAAAAAATTCAAAGATTTAAATTTATGAAATCAAATTGGCGTTTTTTGCAGACAGTTTTTAGGGACTCTGCCAAAAACAACGTATTGAACTAAACGAGACATCATTCTATCAACTGGGACCCGATGTAAATAAGGTATCTGAATTTCAGACACCTAAAACAAATCTGAGTTTGCCAAATGATACCGACAAATGATAAATTGGGAAGCTGAATTTCAGACATCTATAAAACGGCTCTAATCTGCCAAGATCGTATATATCAACCGACCTGAGATAAATAAGGTATCTGAATTTCAGACACCTAAAATGGTTTGAGTCTGCCAAAAATTCAAAATCTTTTAATGTTAACCGACAAGCGATAAATTTGGAACCAGAATTTCAGACACCTAAAACGGCTTTAGTCTGCGAAAATCTTATATATTAACCGACCTAAGATAAATTAAAGTATCTGAATTTCAGACACCTAAAACGGTTTGAGTCTGCCAAAATCGTATATATTAACCGACCTGAGATAAATAAGGTATCTGAATTTCAGACACCTAAAACAGCTTTAGTCTGCGAAAATCTTATATATTAACCAACCTGGGATAAATTAAGGTATCTGAATTTCAGACACCTAAAACGGCTTTAGTCTGCGAAAATCTTATATATTAACCGACCTAAGATAAAGAAGGTATCTGAATTTCAGACCCTAAAATCGTTTCAGCCTGCCAAAAATTAAAAATCTTATGTTAACCGACAAGCGATAAATTGGGAAGCTAAATTTCAGACGCCATAAACGGTCTGAGTTTGTCACAAATCTGCTATAAACAATTAAATGTCCTGAGATTAAAGGCTGAATTTCAGTTTGTACTGTCACCGATCCTGTACTGAAATAAAAAGCACTTTTTCAGAGTGTAGCCCAATTTTAAAAAAATATTGGTTTGATTGTTTGTTTAAATCATATGTGTTGTGCGTTCTTGTACAAAAGCAAAGCCAGAACTCTTCAAGTAAAGACAACTTTTAATCTATATGTGACACTAAACTTTATACAGAAGCTGCCATATTTATACCCTCGACTTGATGTTAATTACCATACTAAAATATGCAGTACTTCCACTACATCCTCCTTTCTATACATTTTTTAAATATTTACAAGACAGGCAGCAATTATTAAATTCGTATATTTTTTTTGGTTTGTTTTTTCATAAAAGTTTTTTTAAAAAAACTCTAACTGTCCAAATTAACCAACAACGTTAGTGTCTATTAGTCTATTAGTCCAAGACAAAATCTTTATACTTAGGGTTAGGTTTTCGTACGCGTCCGGATCTTCTTAAGGTTGTGGAAGAGGTCTGTGGGTTTGGAACGTTTAACGGTTTTTGGGTACTATTGAGCGGTTTCGTTGGTGACTTGGATTGTTTGTCACATGACGATGAAATCTCGATATCTTCTGGCTCAACACGCTGAGGCGAGGTTAGGACCTTTCTTGATGGTATAACCTGACGAGGAAGGATATCATAACCTGCAGAATGGGTAGGGCTATTTGACCTCGGGATCACAAGCTCACAACCTTTCCGAATGTGGAGCCGATCTCTTCTATACTGTTTTCCGTTAGCTTCAACTATATAAGATCTGTCATTGTGTTTACCCACGACAGTTCCGCGAGACCAAGGATGAGAACTAGGCTTAATTTTAGTTCTAATGTTCTCTCCTACAACCAAGGGAGGTAAGGGTTTGGAAACTTTGTCATAGTATCGTTTGTTTTGCTGTTTCTTCTTCACTGTCGCTTTAACAATGGTTTTAGTGGATATTATGACAGGTTCCAATAACTCAGGCTTAATAGGAAGAGTAGTTCTGGTTCTTCTAGACATCAGTTTCTCATTTGGCGACGCCAGTTCATCAGGGGTGTTTCGCATCTCCAAGACCGCTAACCAAGGATCGCTACTCATCTTTAGTATCCTCTTCGCTTGTTTCACTGCTGCCTCAGCAACCCCATTCCCTTTTGGATAATATGGCGAGGAGGTATGATGCTGGAAATTCCACTCTTCGGAGAACTTCTTATATTCACTACTTGTATACTGGGGTCCATTGTCTGATATAACAAACTCTGGCACTCCATGTCTCGAGAAAATCTTCTTAGTTTGCAGAACCGTGTTTTGGGCACTTGTTTCCTCCAGTTCTTCGATGTCCCAGTACTTCGTTAAATTATCAACGACGACAACATATGTGTCGTTCTTGACCGAAAACAAATCTGTACTAACATACTGCCATCGACGCTTTGGAATGGGTTGGCTCTGCATCGGTTGTTTGGTTTGATCTGGTTTATGCTCTTGACAGACTTCACAATTATCGCACAGATACTTGATATCGTTGTTAAACGTTGGCCAATACAGCGAATCGCGAGCTGCTCTTATACATCTCTCTGCTCCCAAATGAGCGCTGTGTATCTGCTCAAGCATACGTGGTCTCAACGCTGTAGGTATCAAGACTCTGGTGCCTCTATAAATTATACCATCTTGCACAGAGAGTTCATCACGATAAGGCCAATACTCCCTGACGTTGAAAGGAACTTGTGTTTTATCACTGGGCCAACCATGCATAATCAAGGTTGCTAAAATCAACAAGTTCTCATCTTCAGCTGTTGCCTTAGCTACTTTCTTCAACGAGTTATCTGTAACGTTATGGTAGACGTTCGGATCAATATCTTCAATGTCTTTCATCAACTCGTTTTCTTCGTTGACCGTAAAAATATCATAATCATCTACTTTACTGCTATCTTTCTGACTTGCGTGAAACGGAGACCTCGAGAGGTGATCACTGATGTACATACGACTGCCTTTCTGGTACGTCACTTTTAAACGATACTTTTGGAGTCGCAACATCATACGCTGTAATCTCTTTGGTGCGGAGTTAATACTTTTAGCTAATATTGTCTCTAACGGTTTATGATCAGTCAACGCATTTATTTTTGTTCTTCCATGCAAAAAATGATCAAACCTTGTGCAACCAAACACAAGGCTTAGGCATTCTTTTTCAATTTGCGAGTATCTTCTTTCAGATTGTGTTAGGGTACGACTGGCATACGCCACAGGTTTTCCATTTTGTAATAATACAGCTCCCAGTCCGTAATCACTGGCATCAGTCTCTAACGTGACTTCTTCACCCAGATCGTAGTACTGTAAAACTGGTGGTTGCGATAACATCTCTTTGAGCTTATTGAATACTTCTTCATGAATATTTGACCAGATGAATTTCACACCTTCTTTGGTAAGATTTCGCAGTGGCTCGGAGATATCAGAAAGCTGTGGCAAGAACTTTCCCAGATAGTTCACCATTCCAAGCAGACGTTTAACTTCTGCCTTATGACGAGGACGGGGCATCTCCGTAATTGCTTCCACTTTGACAGGATCTGGTAGCATTCCTTCAGCCGTCAAAATGTGTCCGTTGTACTTTACACTTTGTTGTTTGAACCTCAACTTTGATTTGTTCAACTTCAAATTGCGTTCTCTGCATCTTTCCAGTAAGCTAAGGAGGTGGTGATCATGATTCTTCACAGCTTCTTCATACGAACCACCACTTCCATACACAAGCAAATCATCTGCGATGGTTTCAACCCCATCTAAATCTCCAATGACATCATGAACGTGCCTCTGGAACTCCTCTGGTGCACTGGATATACCAAAAGGCATTCGGAGCCATTTATAACGGCCAAAGGGTGTATGGAAAGTCGTCAGCTTTGTTGACTCTTCATCAAGCTTGACTTGTAAGAAACCATCTTTAGCATCTAATACTGTGAACACCTTGACCTTTCCAAGCTTAGATGTCACATCTTCCATAGTAGGCATACGAAACCGCGGAATCTTTATATGTTTATTTAGTTCTTTAGGATCTAGACATACCCGAAGTTTCCCTGGCTTCTTCACGTACACTGCACTGTTGACCCAGTCCGTTGGCTCTTCAACTTTGGTTAAGATTTCTTGTTTAACCAGCTCATCGAGTTTCGTCTTTAACTCGTCGCGAAGAGCTACTGGCACACTTCTCGGTGGATCTTGTTTTGGAATCGCTCCTTCATTCAACTCGATCCTGTACTCTCCTATGTAACCAAGACCAGTGAACACATCTTTGTAATTGGTGAGAACATCTTCTTCAGTCAACTCTTCGTTGTATGTCACAGCGTTAACAAGTAACTCGTTTTTTACTGTAATGAGACCAAGTGCTTCTGATGTAGGTCCAGATAATAACGAACATGGTGCGTTTTTAATCACCTGAAAGACCACTTTTTCCAAGATTTGTCCTCCCAGACGAATATCCACGAATACCTGTCCTTCAGGAATTATTCTGCTCCCATTATATGTTGTCAGCTTCACATTGCTTTTGACTAGCTCTGGTGGATCTGTCATTTTGTTGTAGTTCTCCATCTTTAGACAGTTTGCAGCTGCACCATTGTCAATTTGCATCTTTACTTCATTCCACTCAGAACCTGCAGTAGCTTTAATTTTGGGCTGTACCATATACTGCTTCACACCTTTGAATGCATAGGTAGGACAGAAAAGTTCGTCACTTCCAAAACTTGAATCTGACTCTCCCTCATCCAACTGGTGTATATTGTTTTGTTGTTTGCTTTGTTGCGTATTTTTTTGCTGCTTGCCTTTTAATTCTTTCTTGTCATCTCTCTTTGGTATGGACGACTTACACATTCTTGCAAAATGATTTTTCTTGTGACACTTCTTACACACCTGACCAAAGGCTGGACATTCTCTCGGTCTATGGCTTCTACCACAATATTTGCATAACACCGGTATCTTTGGTTGTTCAAACTTCTTATGTTTGAGATTCCCTTTATTTCCAACTGTGTGAATTGGACTTTCACCAAGTTTCTCTATTTGCCTCAGTTGACTTTTGGATCTTTCAGCAGCTCTAACCAAATCTACGGCGCTATCTAGTGTCAAGGTCTTCTCACGGAGTAGTCTACTTCTTACACTTTGATCAAGGATTCCTATCACCAATCGGTCCCGAATTAGCTGACTGGTAAGAGCCCCATAATCACATGTCGCTGCCAATTTTCTAAGTCTATTCAGGTACTGATCTATACTCTCATTATCCTCTTGTATTGCAGTATTAAACACATAACGTTCGAAAATCGTGTTCTTTTGCGGCTCAAAATAATTTGTTAATGCTTCTAATAAACTGTCTGGATCAGTAGGATCTCCAACTTCTAAGTTTTCAGCTATTTGATTTGTTTCTCGACCCAGCACGGTGTATAATGTTGCCAACACTACACTTTTATCTCTTTTATCTAGTCCCGTAGCTAGTTTATAATTATTCCAACTTTTCTTAAAGTATTTCCAATTATCTGCTAAATTTCCTTTTGTATTCATAGACACAGGCGGCGGTATTTGACTGTAAACAGTTACTGAAGACATTAACGGTGCTTGTAAAGTTCCCTCTTCAACTGACATATTTGTATTTCAACATGAACTATACATAAATGTCTACATTTCTCTTTTCATCAGTCAATACGGTACAATCTTGTTTCGTGGGCAACTATCCCAAACGGCAACGTCTTGCACTCTTGCACTGTCGGCTTGATTTCTTTATCAATTCCTCGGCCAACTTGGCGTATATACTGATATACTGTGTTCAACGTGATTCAGTTTACACCTGACACCATGTTGTGCGTTCTTGTACAAAAGCAAAGCCAGAACTCTTCAAGTAAAGACAACTTTTAATCTATATGTGACACTAAACTTTATACAGAAGCTGCCATATTTATACCCTCGACTTGATGTTAATTACCATACTAAAATATGCAGTACTTCCACTACAATATGTGCATAATTCATAAATCAAATGCATCTAAGCAGAGATGAGATTTTAGAGCCAAATTTTAGTGCGTGATCAACGTTTTATAGATTTCAACAACAGACACCTAAAACGGCTTGATTCTGTCAAAATCTTATTTATCAACCGACAATGTATGCAGCGAAACCGACCAGTGAAAAATTAGGTAGCTGAATTCTAGAACCTAAAGCGACTTGAGTCTGCCAAAATTTATTTTACCTGCAGACCTTCACATCACAACCAAAATACTGAAGTCAAATGCAAAGAATCATATATAATTAATTATATAATTAGTTTTAGAAAAACATTTATGAAACAACAAATTACACATGCATTGTCATTTGCAATTGACACAAATTTTGCGCAATACGTTACTTGCTTCCTCTTCATTGGGTGTTAAGCATAGAACATTCCTTCCTTCCTTCCTTCATGGCTGCAGCAGCTACAGCAACTGAAACAGTCATAAAAATATATCAATTTAGTTGGAATGTTATACTGCATAATATTTAATTATGTTTTTTACGGAAAACTACTTTAAAATATACAGCGCGAATAGGTGAATAAACTGAAGGAAGAAAGCTGATCCAATGATAGTGTGAAGTTTCATAGTGGGACACAGCTAATCAACCTTATCCTTTTAGCTCCCATATTGAAAAGGTCTCAATTTTGCATTAACAAGAAAGTTTCTCGAAATTTTTGTCAACTTGACGAAAAGCCTAATTAACATTATAAATAAGAAAAAAGAAATTGTCTAAATAAAGTTCAAAGCGCTGAGGTAGTTGAATGAACCACAACGAACAGAAATGAATGACCTTCGCCACTCAGAAAGTTTATACTCTGACTAGCCATCTGACTATCTGACTAGATGATTGACTATGTCCTATCTGACAAGATGATTGACTATTGACTATAATTAGGCTATTTGTGTTATTGTTGGGCTTAAATGTAGAAATGAATAATTACTTCCCAGGGCCCGCAGGGTTCGCAGGGCCCAAATCGCCGTTTCATGCCCTATCATTCATTTTTTAATCTATGGCCCTATCTTATATACGCCCTGATTCAATTAAAGGTATGCACTTATAGTCTCAAACTCCAATTATTATCGCCCCGTCGTTAAATAGGTGGTTTCTGAGGGCCGAGGCGCCATTCCTTGTTTTAGGAAAGCTCACACGAGCATTATCATAGACTGTCAGAAATATATCATTTATACTTTGTAACCTGAAGATAGAAGTCTGGTAAACATTGTAAAACTATAAACTATATATTTCAGTCAGACTGCTCAATATGGAGTTTTATAAACTATAACAGTCCATTATAACTAAACCTTGGCTTTAGTCATATTAATTGATGAGTGTATACTTTATAATGAAAATTAAATTTCAACGATTATGTCACGGCGTGCGTTTTAGTATATGACTTGTGAACGCTAAGCGAGGGCTAAGTGATCCTCGCTAGGAGATTTTACTTGTAGTTCAACTATATCAGATATTGCGCTTCAAGGCAATGACACGCTATAAAGCGCGATTAGGCGCTGGACTATAGTGAGTGGGGGAAGAGTATTTTAAAAATCGCTTTATTGTATTTTTATACCACTGGTGCCAATATGGTTATCAATTGCTTACAACAAACATATAACTAGGACTCAAAAGGTCGCTGGTGCACGCAGCATATCATTTCAGCAGGTAGAGACCAATACTACAGTATATAATACAAAATATATTACCTTTTAATACATAATAATATTATTATCTTTATATTAATCACAGTAAGAAACTCAAAAAATTAAAAATCATACCTTTACAGCTACGCAATTTTTAACTTTTCCCACTTCAGCGCGCAGAACATGCGAATACTCTACATTATTTTTGGAATACCGAATACCGTTGACAAACACGTACGCTTTGTCCTCATTTACTCGAATTGACCATTTGAAAGAAAGCATTTTTTAAAATACTGTTTGTTGACTGCTGAATAAACCTTGCTGAACAAAACTGCTGGTGTATTTGGCAGAGGGAATAGAGTATATTTTGGCAAGGTTTTCTAGCGTCATACAAGGTGATAGCGTCATACAAGGTGATAGCGTCATACAAGGTGATAGCGTCTTCGCGGCTCAACGAATCAGCGTTCGAGAACACAAAACCATAGGTAACTGAGGAATTTTTCATTGTTAAAAGGTTCAAAACTCAACCAATCAAAAACGTTTATACTAATTAGCGACAAAAATCATAATAACGGAAAACGTTTGAAAACTTAGAAGGGTGTAAGCTGATCTTAGTGAAAACGGGCTGTTTTCTAACTTCGTAACTAAGCTTGTCTGAAATATTTTGAAGAAAGCGGTAAAAGGCTAAAACGCATAATTGTAGTTATGTCGTCGCCTTGTGGGTTTGGATTTTCATCCTCGCCAGAACCGGCGTCGCCGTCCACTCTTGAAACTCTTCGAGAGAGAGAAACAGAAGCCAGTTCGCCAATCGGTATTGGCTTCAGCAGTGACCATGAGAATACGAGGAGTCCGCAAAGTGGTAAGAGATCACACATAAGCAATCTGTATAATTGAATATAGTATATGAACTATAGTCTATATCTACACAATTTTTATGATGATATTTAGTTACGAGCTTTCCTGGGGATTTTACGACTCCTGCATGTTCACTCACAGCTATCTAGCCTGTACTCTTCGCCTGTTGGAATTGGATTTAGCAGCAGTGACAACGAAATCACACTAAGTCCGCTAAACGGTATGATATGTTACATTTCTACATGTCTAAATATAAAATTAAGATTAGAAATATATATTCACCTGTATATTGACAAATGTTGTAATAATTTATTTTGTTCTGCATTTTCTGCTAGTCGCAAAAAATTCGCCATATCCACACACCGGACGCTATTCAATAACGCGACGCGATTTTCACCGATCCATAAGTTTGATAGTAATTTAAATTTTGTATATTTTAGACGCGCTGTAACATTTTAAGTTATTTGCATTCATGTATTTATTGTTATACTATTTATTACATCAATTAACTCGTTATACATATACGCATACAATTTGTCGCCCGTCGGCCTTACATGCGCTTCCAAGTTTTAACTAGCGTCGCGCGCGCGTATACAAACAAGAAAACAATAAGATATGAGAAACATCCTTAAACTTTCAGCTATATAGCCTGCTTCTAAGTCTATAATAAATTTGCGGCGTTTAATCAACAATGTCAATGATTATACATTTTAGCCCAATCGCCTGTTAAACGTAGGAGAATGTTCCATGCATTGTGACGCCATATACCGTAATGCGCACCTGGCATATTATATAGAAATCACTGGACTGAACTTTACTTTCTTTATAAAATTTTTAAAATCCTCGTAATCTTCGCACTAATGTAGCAAGTATGATTATCGTTTTGTAAGAGTAAAGTTCAAAATTCGTTGTCTAACTTACATGTTATGTTCTACACACTGCTTTTACGCTGGGGAACAAACTACATATCTAATGATATCTTGAAGTGCGCGAAGCCTTTACATTTTGCCCGCGCGGGCAAAGTTAACGTTAAAGTCATTAATTGAAAATGTCCGTACGCAGACCTAAGACTAAATAAGCCCGGTAAACACTGCTTAGAAAATAGCTTGACCTAATAATGATCAAATTAAATCATGTGTGCTTTTTTGTACTTGTACTAATAATGTACAAGTTTTTCAAAGGGGTAATTTTCCACAACGGGAATCGCAATTATATTTCATATAGTATATATACAAATTAAAGTAATATTGGCATTAGTGCATGTAACCTTTAATTTTTCAGATAAAGGGTAACTTTCTACCAGTTGGCCATACGCATAAAGACATTGATGCATTATTTGGCTGTTTTTCAAAGCATCTAAAATTTTTTTATGTATATACAGTAAATGTCTTAACAGACAAGTACTTATATAAAATCATCTGACATAGCAAATTCTAGGGTGTACACAAACAATTACCATACAATTACATTTTGTTCTATTCTGCTGACATACAGTGTAACAAAATAATAGAGATAAGCTGATTACCAAAATTGATTGATTACCAAGATTGCCCTTTACAATGTAAAAAATTCCTTTATATTTGGGTAATTTAAGATCATTGTTTTTGAGCATTGTTTCAAAGTTCAACTTTTTGTCATAGTATCTGAAATTTAGTGAATGTTATCACGGTTAAAATAAAACACTAGTGAATTCAGGCTTTTGCATGTGCTTGCTTTTTGTTTGTGAGTCATCAGCTTACAGTGCATGTATTGATTTTTTGCACCAATAAATGAAGCAATCAGCCAACAGATAAATATTAACAATCCATTAATTGTTTGTTTTTCTGAATATTTTCTTTTTCTTTTTTTTAGATATAAGAAAAGCATTTGAAGAATGCTGTAAAAAGTTATACCCATAATCTGAGTGTTTATCATGCATTTATGACATAAATAAGTGGTTGGATGGTTTGATTATTTTTATACGATGTCAATTATTTCTGTGTGACGACTAAGAGCAGCATTCCCTGAGAGAATTGCAATATGTGTTATGATAATTCTTGCAGGAAATTCTGGTATTTTTGAAGCATTTGATGTCCTAATGCCAGTGCCATAGCTAGACCGCTT